CACCCCAAAATCACCCCAAAAATCACCCCAAAATCACCTCGAAAACATCCCCAAAATCACCCCAAAAATCACCCCAAAAATCACCCAAAAATCACCCCAAAATCACCTCGAAAACATCCCCAAAATCACCTCGAAAACATCCCAAAAATCACCCCAAAATCACCCCAAAAATCACCCCAAAAATCACCCCAAAATCACCTCAAAAATCACCCCAAAAATCACCCCAAAAATCACCCCAAAATCACCTCAAAAACCACCCCAAAATCACCTCAAAAATCACCCCCAAAAACACCCAAAAAATCACCCCAAAATCATCCCCAAAACCGGGGGGACACGGGGTCAGGGGGTTCACGCAGTCCATGGAGCCCACGCGCTCCCTGTGCCCCAAAACCACCAAAATTCACCCCAAAAATCACCGAAAACCCCCCAAAAATCACCCCAAAAGTGGGGGGACACGGGGTCAGTGTCCAGGGAGCCCACGCGGTCCCTTCGCCCCAAAACCAGCCAAAATCACCCCAAAATCACCCCAAAAATCACCTCGAAAACATCCCCAAAATCACCCCAAAAATCACTCCCAAAAACACCCCAAAAATCACCCCAAAAATCACCACTAAAACATCCCCGAAAAACCCCCAAAATCACCCCAAAATCACCCCAAAAATCACCCCAAAACCACCCCAAAACCGGGGGGACACGGGGTCGGTGGGGTACACCCGGCCCGGGCACCCCAAAACCGGGGACCCCCCCTCAGTGGGACCCCAAAACCGGGGGGGGGCAGCAGGACCGGTGGGGTCCCACCACGCTCGGGGGGCTCGGGAGATTTTGGGGGTCCCCTGCGCCCCTCCCCAGGGTCCCCCCGCCCCGGGAATTTTTGGGGGTCCCCAGGGCGCTTTTGGGGGTCCCCTGCGCCCCTCCCCAGGGTCCCCCCGCCCCGGGAATTTTTGGGGGTCCCCCCGTCCCCCCTCCCCGGTGACCCCAGGGCGGTTTTGGGGGTCCCCAGGGCGGTTTTGGGGGTCTCCTGAGCCCCCTCCCCAGGGTCCCCCAGCCCCGGTGACCCCAGGACGGTTTTGGGGGTCCCCAGGGCGGTTTTGGGGGTCCCCCCGTCCCCCCACCCCGGGGTCCCCAGGGCGGTTTTGGGGTCACTTTTCCCCCCTCCCCGGGAATTTTTGGGGGTCACTTTTCCCACCACCCCGGTGTACCCCACCCCCGGGGAACTTTTGGGGGTCCCCTGTGCCCCCTCCCCAGGGTACCCGGGGCAGTTTTGGGGTCACTTTTACCCCCACCGCGGGAACTTTTGGGGGTCTCCTGAGCCCCCTCCCCAGGGTCCCCCAGCCCCGGTGACCCCAGGACGGTTTTGGGGGTCCCCTGTGCGCCTTCCCCGGGGTCCCCCAACCCCGGGAATTTTTGGGGTCACTTTTCCCCCCTCCCCTGGAATTTTTGGGGTCACTTTTCCCCCCACCCCGGGAATTTTTGGGGTCACTTTTCCCCCCTCCCCGGGAATTTTTGGGGTCACTTTTCCCCCCTCCCCGGGAATTATTGGGGTCACTTTTCCTCCCTCCCCTGTGTCCCCCCAACCCCGGGAATTTTTGGGGTCCCCTCCCGGCCCCCGGGGGGGTCCCCACCTGTAGACGGGCCCGAGGCGCTGGAAGCCCCCCGGGGGTCTCCTGCGCCCCCTCCCCAGTGTCCCCCAGCCCCGGCAATTTTTGGGGTCACTTTTCCCCCATGCCCCGGTGTCCCCCACCCCGGGAATTTTTGGGGTCACTTTTTTCCCCATCCCCGGTGTCCCCCCAGCCCCGGGAATTTTTGGGGTGCCCTCCCGGCCCCCGGGGGGGTCCCCACCTGTAGACGGGCCCGAGGCGCTGGAAGCCCCCCTCCATGCGGCGGTGGAAGTCCTGGAAGCCCCCCCGGCCCCAGAGGCTCAGCAGGTTCAGCCAGCGGCTCCGCCCGGCCCGCGGCATCTCCTCGAAGGGCCGCGGGCCCCCCGATCTGCGGGAGACCCCCGAGCCTGGGGAGACCCCCGAGGCTGGGGAGA